TAAACACAAAGATTTTAAATGTTTTTGAAGGTTTTTAAACTTGATTTTAAACATCATTCTTTTATATACACTACAGAGAAACCCTACATTTCTGTAAAAGCATATTTTTTTTATAGTAATAGATTTCTGTCCTTTGTTAAAGTATTTCCCAGATATTTAAATTTTTGCATTTGTTTGATTTTGGTATCTTCAATTTGTAATTTGTATGTTGGGCTTAACCTTTTACTAGCAACCATGCATTTTGTCTAATTGCAAATGATGCTTAGTCCTTTCTTCTCACTTTCCTTCATTACCTTCTGTAGAAGTCCATGTAATTTCCTTTCTGTGTTTGCTAACAATAGTAATAATGATTAGTGATATGAAACAAAATTCTGAAGTTTGGTGAAGTCAATCAAGAGAAAAGGCAAAAATTTTGCTACCACCCTGCATTTATTTTATTTTTTAAATTAGAAAAATTAACTACAGTGTATTTGTTTTTACTTTTACAAAAATAACTATAAAAAATTATCATAAAACAGCATCATATTTTGTTTTCATCAATAAAACCACTATGTGCTTTAATTACTGCTTTGCAAATTCTCAGTATTTTTACCAACTAATTTTGAAAAAGAGTAGATGGTAGACCTTCCAAAACATTCTTCAAGTAGTGAAAAAAAGCTCACTCTCACACTTTGGGTATTCTCTTTGAGCACTCCTATCCATGTCTAAAAATCTTCAACTTCTTGGTAATTTGTATTTGAGAGTTGCCTTCTTTGAATAAAATTTCAATTTGTGCCATCATCTCAATGTTTAGCTGCTTTGATTTTTCTATTTTGTGTAAATTCAAAATAAAAAAATAAATAAACATGAAAATATGAAAATACTGTTGTAATGGTACAATCTATTTTTTCTTCACACAGAGACAGCTACATATGTTTTGTTTACATTAGTCAATGCTGAATTAACATTTAGAAGCTGTATTAACATTTAACTTAGTTGAAAATTTTAATAATCTGAAAAAGTCTATTGAGGGGTTATTAGACAAAACAAAATGTAATTTTTTTCCAAACAAAATATTCATAATTTAACAGCATATATTGTAGACAGATGAATCCAAATTTGAACTTTTTGGTAGTAAGAGATTTCTGGAGAAAAACTGGAAAATAAAAGCAAATACACTGTAGGTACTGAAATTTTATCTTTTACTTTAAGAAATACAAAATTATCTCATTTTAAGATGTTTTTTTAAAGAAATGCTGTGTACCCACAAACTTTCTGTTTGTAGTAAATTAGTGAATAAAAAAGTTCAAAACTTTATATCCCAACTCTGAGTTTTTATAAGAGAAAATGATTTAATACACATAATCAAACAATTTCAGAATTAGATTATGTTATGTAACAATGCTATTAAAATAGAACACATTTTGAAATTTAAGTTTTAACATAAAAGATTATTGTTTTTAAGTAATGCATTTTAAACTAGACATATCTGCCAACAGATTCAATTGTTTTATCTTGCCTCTGATGAACAGATTATATCTGTAAAACTCAGAATTGGCAGATAAGTCTTAGAACTTTTTATTCACTTATTTACTATTAATTCCTTATTTCTTAATATAGAGCAATTTATTTACAAAATCTGCTTGCCTTAGAATTATTATCCCCAAGAAACATACTTGTTGATATTGATATTTTCTTTTAATTGATAAGCTATCTTTGTTCTCTCTCTCTCTCTCTCTCTCTCTCTAATATATATATATATATATAAGGAGTGAGATAGAGTAAGCTTACCTGCTTGGAATTGTTCTGAGTAAATTACATCCAGCAGCAAGGCCTCTGATTGGGAGATTGGAGGTTTTGAGGAGTGTGGAACCCCCTCTAAATTGCTGTTGTTACCAGGCTCACACTGACCTGGGGTGGTAGCACCTGTTAGGGTCCCAGTTATGGGCAAATAGTGAACCCCCAAACAAAAATCAACAGTAAAACATACCTTTTCTCTGTAAGTATAAAATTATGTACAAAATATCTGTAGTTGAAAGCATAAAATTACATAAGAAATATTTAGATTTCTGTATTAAATAACGCATTGAGATTGATATACTGAAAAACAAAATCAACCAACCAACCAACCAACCAAGATGAAAGAACTCTTTCATGACATTAGTCCATATAATATCCTACAATTTCTTAAAGAATTCACACTGTAATCCAAGATATAACTTCAACAAAACTACAACATAAAATGCACATATCACCACCTTCAGTAATCATGTCCACACAAACATGTATCTGCATAAAAGCTGAGTATTATCTACCATGTACTCAATTGTGAAAGTAGAATAACATATCATATTTTCATTTTTTCAAAGCTCCCAAGAAAATTAAATTTTGGCAGAAAATGACCTATGGGTCATATGCTGTTAAACAAATCAAAACCTGCTTGAAAAATCAGTATTCGATATCCTGGATTTTATCTAGATTTGAATGCTAAATCCTGACATGTATAGGAAATATATAAAATATTTCTGTTTCTGTTGTTCAGTAGGTACAGGCATATGTGCGCACACACACATACATATATATATATATATATATATATATATATATATATATATATATATATATATATATATATATATATATATAGTTGGTAATTTGGCAGCAGTCTCCTCTAATTCATGACCCACTAAAAATGACTGACAAGGTACTTATGCTAATTTTTTATTGTATTTTGCTTGTATGCAAACAAGAACTTTCTTTTTTGGATTCCTACACTCATTAAGTCCAAAAAGAGACAGCTCTTGTTTCCATACAAAAAAAAATACAATAAAAACAATTAACAGAAATACTTTGCCATTTTTAACAACATACACACACACACACATACATATATATAAATATAAAAGTGAATCTTGAAGTCAACAAACTTCATAGTTCTGCTAGGGTCTTACATTCTCTTGCACAGATGTGTCAGTGTTGAATGTCTTTTGCTTTGCAGTTGTTGTTACATAAATCATGCAAAACCTATAATGATAACGAATATATGATAAATATATAATAATAATAGATCTATAATAACATATTTCATATATATATATATATATATATATATATATGTGTGTGTGTGTGTGTGTGTTAAATACAGCATGAGAACTTATGTTAATGATTATACAGGTCTTCAAAGTTGAAGTCATTGAATATTGTTTTTATTCAATATGGTGATTAATTTCTGAACAAATGAACCTGAAAATGTACATTTTAAATTTTCTCCCTACATTTAACATTTTGAAGGAGTATTCCTTTCAAACTTGATTTAGAGAAATCTTTAGATATTATCCATTTCTCTACTTTGTAATCTTATGGGCACGTAACCGAGTGGTTAGAAGGTTCACTTTCTGAACATTAGATCTGGGTTTAAATCTCACCATGGTTGATTTGTCAAGAAGATGACTTCTTTATGTTATTGATCTGACGGAAGCAATTCCAGCATGCAGCATGATTGGAAAGTGCCTGGAAACCACACCCCAGGTTGACCCAAGCCTTGTGAGTGGGTAGATGAAACCCTTGGGAGCCATCGGTGGTTGTGCTACCACAAAGTCACATGTCATCGTGATCGAGGGTTTGAGCATGCTAGCCTTGTTCAGAATGCTGATCACACTAGATCATATGCTCTCTCCCAGAAACTGTAACTAAGGTCTGCTCAGCAGAGTTGCAGTATAAACCATAAGTGGGCTCTGTAGGTATTGAGCAAATATAAATGTGCCTGAGCAGGCGTCTGCAATGGGGCATCTTTGGATATGAGTAGCTGTGCCATTTACTTTGTAATCTGTACCAAATTTCTACCATCTGTAGAACAAGGATTCATCTTTATTTAGATATAGCACAATATCTTTTCCTCTATTTTGCCACCAAGTGTAATTTGTTCCTAGATAAGATTTTTTTCCTTCTCTCTTTTAATCTGTGCTTCTCATGCTCTGTCACATCTTTGCATTTATCAAGATCTCTCCTAAAACATTGTTAATCCTAACACAATGGCTGTGGTTCATTGTTTGAACATGTTAGGATAAATTCTTCTTTATCTGTAGCATTTTCTTTCTCTCAATGAATTGCAAAATCAAGATTAACAGTGGAGTAGGGATTGGTATATCAGATCCATGTTGTTCTGGTCTTATCACTGATGTAAGATTAACAATTTATTTCTGATTCACTCGTTCTTTTTTTTTTCATCTTTGAATTTAGCAGGAACAAGGATAGCAATTGTTACTATGATGTTTTTTGTTCCCTCTATATAATGAGAATTCCAAAAGCAAGAATTATTTTATTGCGTTTTGTCCATTTTCTTAGTTCCTTTTTTTAGTTCCTTAACACACATACAACAGACATTGTCAGTGTGGTGATTATATCCATGATATTATGCCAGAATATAACTGCAAGTTTATGGAGGGTAAGTGTTAAGTTCTTGTGGGACTCAGATGAACTGGGCAACAGCTTTTGAAGAGAAAGAAACACAAGAACCTATCCTATTTAAATATTTTTAATCCAAATAGAAAAAGAGAAATAAGGGAAAATAAGTGGCTGCAGACAAAATGTGTCTGTGGACTTAGCTCAAGAGAAAGTTACCTTGTTAAAGAAGTCCCTTTCAGTCCTTGCCTAATTACTGTCGCCATTCCTCCATAACCTGAGGCCACTAACAAGGCTTGGGGTAATGGAATAGCATTGCTTTGTACTGCTTGAGTAATGTGGTGAAAAAAAAAAGGGATGGGTCTTTAAATTGGTGCTTATATAGTTAGGGTCACATGACTCTTGCAGGGATACTGATTGATTTTTTAACCAGTCAGTTTCCTTGTTTTATTCTGTGCTTGATTAGTTTTATTTTCTGCTTGATTATTCTAAATTCCAATATGAGGAACCCACTTTTGTCATTGTCTCCATGTTTGATTGCAAAGTAGCTTTTTTTAACAAACTACCTTATGTTTAATTTCACTTTTCACACTACATATTTTCTACCAATATATAGACTTATGACCATATCATGTTGAAACAATAATTCTCATATGATCACCGAAGCTAAGCATAGTTGAGCCTTGTCAGTACCTAGATGGGTGACCACTTGGGAATACCAGGTGTTATATGCTTTGATATGTGGGCAGTGTTATAGATAATAGTTGGTGTGCAAATACTCTTGGGAAAGGTATGAATTCACCTCTTCTCCCACCAGCTATGAGTTAAATAGTAGCACTTGTATCAGTAAATCATTATTATCTCCATAAAATTCTTACAATGTAAAAATATTTTCTGGCTTTAAATAACTTGTAAAAGGTTAATAAACTGAAAAAATCAGTCAATTAATCAATATATAGATTTAAATAACTTGTAGATTTCCCATCTCTATAAACATTATATTCAGTGGATACACATGTTTAGTGAATACATGTGTTTAGTTATATTCAGTGGATACAGGTGTTTAGTGGATACATTTTTGTGGATACACGTGTTTAGTTATATTTAGTGGATATACATGTTTAGTTATATTTAGTGGATACATGTGTTTGTGTAAATATCCCCCTTTTTTTTTTAGACTGTATAATTTTAATCCATTGGCCTTTTGTTTTTAGAGTGTTAATAAAGAAAATGTGCCCTTCAGCAGTGTTTGAAACTATATCCACCTTATATAGGGCATACTAACATATAGCCAGCCATGATTTTAGACTGTTCAGTTGTGAAGAACCTCAGGGAAAAACAAGTTTCAATTACCCCTGTTAACTAATTCAGTTATTTCCCTTCCCTAAACTTAATGGCTGGTTCCAAACAGCAGCAGCAGCAGCAGGCTTGTCTCACTTCCTTTCAACTTGCATTTGCCCAATGAACCAAATATAAGCTGTTTAAAATTTCTCTTTCTCACTTTTAACTTTTGATACCTGGGGGACCTTTGCCATTTTAACTTCTGATGTCTGGAGAGTCTATGCCACTTCATCTTCTGTGGACTGTTATTAATTTCTATTGGACATTTCATTGATCAACCCTTATGTAGAAAAGCACATTTCTCATTATGATCTTTCAAAGCCCAACATTATTTTGTATCCAAAACGTAAACAAAGTAATTCCTTGGAATGTTTTATTCTTTTCCAAACATGGTCAGCATGTTGTGGACATGTTCAAAATTGATATTATTGAATGTTGGCTTCTTCTTTTTTTATTATTAATGTAGGAAGAGCTGAATTTAAACATATGATAATTTATATATTCAGTTATAAATAAAAAACACATCCTTGATAATGGCTAATAGAATAGCTGAAAGCACTGGGATATATTAAACATTTGAACAGTTTTTACACACTTTATATTTGAAAAAGAAAATACTTGTATGAATGTGTGGGGTCAACACACACACATCATAGCTGCAGAAATTAGCTTTGTGTTCACAGATATAAAAGCATACCTGACAGAAAATAAAACATGCAGAAATAACAGGAAAAGCATACAATTTATTTATATTTTTGTGTGTATTGGTGTGTGTAGTTTTTAGGTTACAATTGTTTTATTGTACATGTGATAAAAGGGAGAAATTTACTCCATAGTATTACAAGCCATATCACAGAGAGAAGTCAGACACGTATTGCCCGTATCAAGATTGTGGTGAAGAGATTGAATTTAACATCTTTTGGCGGGATGACTGTACTTCCAGTAGGAACTGTTTTTGTTGCATGCTGGGAGAATTTTTATTATTTTTATTTAATTTATTTTAAAATGAGTTTAAATATTATCGTTTTATTTTATTTTATTTTTGATTTTTATTATTATTATTTTATATTTAATTTTTATTTACTTATATATACTTAATAATAATAATAATAATAATATAATCACTCAACTTGAGTATAGCTGAATCAATAATAACATGCCAAGTTTTAAAAAAATATGCATAAACTGATACAAAGGTTTTTACGATGCAATCAAAAACAATCATTTTTAAAACTAAACACTCCTAATGTTATCTAATAACAAACATCATGAGAAAAAATCCCACTAAAATCTATTATAAACACACACATGCACAGACACATGCTAATGTAGATGTACATCCACATATATATTGTAGGTGTATATGTAGATACACACATAAATACGTATATATATATATATATATATATATATATATATATATATATATATATATATATCCAAGTATATAATTGGTATATACGGAATGAATTCCAATAACCAACAATTACTATTCTTAAAATAGTGCTCAATACAAAGTAGAGCAGATATAATTATTTTTTATAAAAATTATATATATATATATATATATATATATATATATATATATATATATATATATAATGTGACATACACATGCATATATTGGAGACATACACACACATAATAAAGGCATATATGAGCATACTCACACACATATAAGAGGGAGTGCTGAAAGTTCTTGGCTCACCATACTTTTTAAAATCTGATGCTATGACTAAACATAATTTTTTTAAGAGTCTGCTTGGTGAGGCCAAGAGCTTTTCAATCACCTCACTATATATATTGTAAAAATATGTATACATACTGATGACAATACCTTAGTTGGATTACTCCATCTTGTCTGACAGAAATTTCTCTTAACACCAACAAGGTGAACTTGTATAAGTGGTATATGAGGAAAGGACTCAATCTCTCACTCTCTCTCTCTTTGTTTATATATTTTAATACATAACAACATGGGGTTAGTTGTTGTGTATGCATGAGAGAGAGATAGAGATGTACTACATGATTTGGTTGAAAGTAAAAAATTAGTCTGGCCAGAAACAAAACTAAGATACATGTTGTCAATACAGCATCTTGTGGTTGAAGTGGAATATATAGAGAAAGAGGGTTTATGTGCTTTTCTTTTTTACTACTTTATACAAGGCCACCAAATGGATGTTAAGAGAATTCTCCTGGCAGACAAGGTGAGGTAATCCTACATCTTACATTAAAGAAAAAATATTAATTGTTTCCTTGAATATTCCTAGAGGAATTAGGAAACTCATTGTTTTCAGTGATAAAAGAAATGTGACAATTCACTTAATGAGGTAAGCAACTATGATAGAAATCAAAGAAAAACCTACAGAAAAAAGTAAAAAAATTGATTGGTTGGTGAAGGCCAATAAACTGCATGTTTATATATGACATATGCATATCTGCCTTTTTCCCTCTGTTTCAACTAATTTCCTCTAAGTTGCAATAAATAGAAAACAGTAGCAGTGGTTTATGAGGTAGTTGTATAATAAGGAAAAGCGTAAAAAGAATATCTTTTAAAAAATGTAATCATGGAGAAAAGTGTCACAATGGAGGGGGTATGCAAATGAATCACACAATAATTTGATTGGCTAAGAGAAAAGGTCATGAATATTCATAAAAATCATGTGATTGTTTTCTTTCTTCCCCATTTCTAATTATTTCCAAGTCTCAAGTGTGGAAACAACTGTAGTTGCTACAGTGAAAGAACTGAAAAAGCTTCTAGTGATGAAGACCATATCTTTTTTATTTATTTCATTTAAAAAATGAAGGATTCTCTTAAATTTTTCATGTAAATCATTGGAACATATTTTTAAAGAATTTTAACAGCATTTTCAAAATTTTTTAAAATAAAAAAACCAAGATATATTTTTGAAAAAAAATTTTTTTAGCAAAACTCAAAATTTTAAAATTTGTAATCTCCACTTAGTTAACAAATATCTTATTAAATTTGAAGAAGAGTGGGTGTGATAGGTTTTGTTAACTCTTCTGCCACTTAATATTATATTAAATGAGATTTTCATGTTCATCATTAACATACATTTTACCTTTCTTTCTTCCTTTTCATTCGTTAGTTATTTCAAATATTGAAGCCAGTGTTTTAAATATTGCTGTATTCATAAAAAGTTAATCATACAGGGTGCGATGGATAAATCCCAGAAAAACACACTTGGGGCCTGTATAAGAAACACCACATAGTAGGAACTGATATTAAACTACAAACAACAAAGGTTCTGGCCATAAATAAACTCCAAGTCCACAATGCTTCTCCTGGGTTACGATATCTTACGCCTCCACTAATCGCTAATACAAACCTATTCTTATTAACAAGGCATCTACGAGAAGAGGACTGACATCAAAAATAAATTTAAAACAATGTCCCAAGACAGACACTTAAGGGCTGATGATAGCCATGTACAGAACAGCTTGAAATAGACTATTTCTAAGTTGAGGTAATTTTTGTTTTTGGCTGTAAAAAATACATATGAGTTCTTAAAATAAAAACTTTTAATCACTTTTAATAATTAATATTACTTGGATCCACCTGGATTATATATCAACGGATCAATTACCTGTACCCTATATATATATATATATATATATATATATATATATATATATATATATATGCTATGGGTAAAATAGCAGGACAGACTAGGTTCTATAGCCTTGGATGGCAACTGGTCTAGGAGAAGGACAACTCTGAATTCAAAACCTGCGGAGGGTCATTTGGGAACCTTGTGGCATTCTGTGCACCAGGTCTCTGTATTCATCCCTTCAAAAAGTGTGGATGGTCCTGCACGAGGCCTTCACCACTATAATCAAATCTCATGTGCCGGTGTCAGGCTGTCGATTTCCTGGAAACTGATCTGCTTGACCCTCATATGTCAAATCTCAACGGGAGAGTCGATTATTATTATTATATATATGGTATATATATATATATATATATGTATATGGGGTGTTCCAAAAGTCTAGGGATCATTTTGTCATTGAATATCTCAAAAACTATTAAGGATATAAAAATGCACCTGATATATTCTGAAAGAATTTAATCTCAAGTTTTACATGGAATGTTCAAAGATGTTCAATGTGAGCACCATTGGTCACATGGCACACATCAAACCGATAGTCCAATTCATGCCAAATGCATTCCAGCATTGCATTGTCAATGGTTGCAACAGCTTCCGTTATTTGGGCCTTCGGTTCATCCATGTCTTTTGGAAATGGGGACACATAGACCATTCCTTTCACAAACCCCCAGAAAAAGAAATCGCAGGGTGTGAGATCTGGAGACATGGGAAATGCATGCAAGTGTCCATGATTCAGTTTTTGCAAATTCAAGGATGCACA